TATATATATATATATATATATATGGCCTTTTTAAAGGTAAGCTCTTGCATAACTTAAATACTAGCAGTAACAAATTTTCTTCATGTCTAAAGTAATGCAAAACTCTTCTAAGGAAATTTTAAGTTACATTAAATAATTAAACACTCCAAAGGGGAGTTATTCAAACAGGAATATATAAAGAAATATATGCAAAAAATGTATCAATCTTAACTGGAGTAGCTGTGGTTACAAAGCTACAAAAATGTTGGCCATTAGTTGAATATGTTGGAAAAAGACCCACCTTTACATTGTGCATACTCATGATGTTCCCACAGTCATCCATATACTGCTTTAGGTCTTTGTCCTGACAAAATAAAGAACATTGGTTAGTGTGCTAAAAAACTGGCTGAATGTTTATTTAGGTGATTCTTCCAAAATGCTTATTTCCCTAGAAAGCCGCTCCAAGTCAAAGTTTCTTCAATATGTCCAAACTTAGTAGTTTAATTGATTCAAAGAAGAAACATACATGGTTAATCAATTAACAAAGCTACACATGAAGCGACCTCACAGTGACCCAGCCCTTTGATCTATGAAGATCAATACTGCTTCCTCTGACTGGCAGGGCCTCTCCAGGGTCTCAGGCAAAGGTCTTTTATGTCACCTACTACTTGATCCTTTCAACTAGAGATGCCAGGGATTAAAACTTGAGCCTTTTACATGCACAGCAGATGGTCTACCATGGTCCCTAAAATCTTATTTAAATACTGTTGGAAAATGCTTAAGTTCAGGTTTTGATGACACTTTGGGGGAAGAAAGCTCCAGAGCTGTCTATGAAGAACTAAGAATGTCTCTTGGTGTACCCTCATCCTTTTGAGTTTTGTGCACAGATGAAAATAATTTTGACAGCATTCTCAGTAGACCCAAAGAGATGACAATATGTGCATGGGTTAGAGGAAGGAATTTAGGCCCGAACTGTTTAGGGCTTTGAAAGTTACGCAAAACTCAAATTGGGTTCTGTCCCCAGTGACTCACCCTCACCAGGTATTGAGTTGCTTCATGCTTTAATCTAGCCTTGAGGACATGAAGACATGAATGACAGACCTTAGGTCAAACTCAGAAAGGATGGTTCACTACCTTCCATAACAGATGAAGAAGCTAACTAGTCCTCCTGATAACTACTACAATCTGAACAATCCAGGACAACAACAGATCCAGAAAGATCCTTAGGTTGCATCATCAAGACTGAATCCATCATCAGCGGGAACCCCTTCACAATCCCTTTTTTCCTGTCCTCCTCTGGGTTGCAGGCCCTATCAACTGTCTGGTAAGGATCAGCATAAATTAGCATGTCCTGGCCAAAGAGACTAAAGAAAGAGGGGAAAGACTGCATTTCAGTTGATCTCTACCATGCATTTGGTATAAAGACATGATTAACTGCCCATACTTCTCCAGTACAGAACAAGGGCTGGCATGCCAATTAGGCATCTGAACTTGAGCATATTAGGTGCATAATTCTTTCTACAGTGCCAGCACAATTTAAGGTATTCCACACTATAAGTAGCTTAAAGCTGTGCTGAAATGGCATTATTCTTTTTCCACTCGTAGCAAGCAAAAATATATGTTGATTAGTTGACACAGTAGCTGAAATCCTGAAAATATGGAGTACAAAGGCTTCCTACAGCTGGCCACAGAAAAGGACAAACCTGGGCTATTTACAGTGCAACTCTAACTCTCTCTGTCTATAGACAACTACAAGAAAGATGTACACATGTTGTTTTCAGAATCATAGTTCACAGCCATTGCAAGATAAGACAAACACATTACCTTTAATATACTGAAGTCAACTGACTTTTTAGCAAGGTACTGCGCATCCCATAACAAAATGACAGCAGAATACCCACTCCACCTATCCAGACCCTTTCAATTCATACATATTATAAAACTTAGGTTCCACTTTGGTTTAAACATTAAACATTTAAACTGAGATGCTTGAGGGTATTTAAAGGAAACAACTTACCAGATACTCGAAGACCAGAGTCAAAGATTTGTCTGTGTGAACAATATCATGCAGCGTAACAATATTTGCATGTTTTAGGTCTTTCAGTAACGACACTGAAAAAAGAAATGAACAGAAGACAGATCAGTAATAAATGGGAAAACTAGACTGCACATACATTATTGTGCCAAATGGGTAATGGAGTAAAAACAGCTTGGTCTGAAATAAGTTAATTATTTTACGCATCATTAATTTAGCCCAGGAAGAAATATTTTCTTCCTTTTTATTTTCCAGCTGAAATAAAAAGGACCAAAATATTTTATTCTTGCTTGTTTCAATGAGGCTCAAGTGTATTTCACATTTTCTAGATTGTGCCCAAAGTGCATATATAAGGAGGAGTCTGAAAAGCAGAAGCTCAGTATGTGTTAAAGCCTGGGGAGGATCAGAAGGTGCAAGTGATGCCAGAACAGAGACTAAGGCAGAATTACTCATTTCAGAATAAAGCAAGAGGAAAAGAAAATGTGGTTATAACTCACATGGATTATTCAGCCAATGCTAGAATTTTATGTACTCTTGACACTAAAGCTTGTGTGATCTAAGCAAAGGCCTAGCTCTCACACAGGCAGTTAACCTGTGCTTGGCCTAGAATACTCCAGATTGCAGGTGGGAGCTTGTATGACTCCTTCATATAAAAAACAAATCCTGCACATAGAAGAACAAGGTGCCAAGAGAAGGCTAGTCTAGAACCATTCTGAAACCTAACATGCTATGTGCAGGGAATTATGCTGTTGGGAAAAATACTCCGTCACGTGATTCCCAACCTGCAAAGAGAACTAAGGCCAAGATCAAAGCAGTTTCTTCACAGTTCATTCAAATATTTAGATTTTCTGGCACTCTTAGGTAATAGCCTGTTTTACTGTGGAGAGGTTACGTTCAAGGAGCATCATGTTTCATGTAAAGCAGAGGCACTCAGTTTGATACCCATCCAAGTAAATAAGCAGACTGTTCATGCATACTTCACAGTTTAATATTGTTGGCTGAGAATGTTGTATTACACAAACATCTCAGGATGCAAGATGTTTAAAGGAGAAGAACTAACATGTGAGTAAAGAATCCTCTGCCACAAATATTCAATTTATATAGCTTGATCCAGAGATTATTTTTTTCTCCACTGACTAAGCAGATGTCATGTTTTATGCCTGCTCTTTGGCTAGGTTCAGACATAATGTCTGCTGAACAACCTTGGGGTCATCTGTTCCCTCCTCTCATTCCCCCATATCATTAGGTATTTCCAGGAGACTGATTTGTTCTCTCCTTGCAAAGTAGGATTCCAAACTGAGATTAAAGGCATGGTTTGGGCTCCTGGTTTGGAGAGCAGGGCAAACTCAAACTATAAACGAGTGATGCAGACAATCACAGAAATTGACGGTTTGTCACAAAAACAGAAATTGCTAATCAGCTGGCTACAACAGCATGTGGCCCAAAGAATTTGCTGGACTCACTCATAGCAAACATGGTTGACTGTTGTATCTGAATCAATGTCCAGATTTAATTCGAAGTGGAAAAAATATCTAGTCTGGTTCAGGGCTTGGTGTATTTCTTAGAACTGCACATGGTCATGATTTATTCATTAAATTTATACCCCACCCTAGCCCCCCAAAATGGGGTCAGGGCAGCTCACAACATAAAACCAACAAGCAATAAAAACAGTAAAACAATAAATAGCAATAGCAGATCAAACCAAACTCATGCCATGAACTAACTATCCTAGGAAACTCCAGTGTCTGGATAGTATCCAAAAAAGTAGGGCACTGGACAGGACAGGGCCCCCAGAATGGATTAAACTTGAGATAACATTGCATTTGAAGAAAGAAAAAAAGAAATTGCTCACCTTCCCTAATGGCTGTGCATGGAGCCCCCTCTTCATGCTCTAATCTTATTTCTTTTAAAGCGACCAGGTTTTCTGTCAGCTTACTTCTTCCCTTATATACAGTGGCATAGGTGCCCTGGGCAAAAAGTGAAAATACATATAAGAAAAATTCTATGAGAATTCTGAAGTAACCAAATGAAAAAAGGCAACATATTATGAATAGAAGTTTTTTAAAAAGCTGTAAAGTGAACTGAAGCAAAACAGTATGGTTGTTACAGCACCTGAAGTTGCTACTGTCCTGTATCTTTGTCAACATGTAGCCCTATTTTAAAGAAACCTCCGGTCACTACTACATGTGTAGTACACTTTAAGTGGCATAACCATGGTTAAGCAATCCTGTGGTCTGGCCCCTGATGAGCTACCCCTTTACATGTAGCTCCCTTTCAAATGCAAATTCTCACCTACACAACTTGGCTTAACCATGATTTAATATTAAGCTGGCACCAATGTTAACCGTGATTATGGCTAACCAGGTTCTTGCTTTACCAGGATTTGAAACCTGTTTCAGATATTAGTTTCAGATGATAGCTTCAAATCCTGGTTAAGCTGAGAATCCAGGTTAGCAATCACCACGATAAACACAAGCACATGGCTTAAGGTATGTGGAACGAATTATCACTCAGCAGGAGAAAAGGGAGTCCACAATCAGGAGCCACTCACAGAAATCATTTAACCATGATAAATTAATTTAATCCTCAATACTGGGAATAAGTCCTATAGAGCAGTAGACCCATTTAGGATTACACTGCAAGAGCATCATGTGTGTACCAGCACTAACTATGCTCTTTTCACATGCCTAATTTTATGAGAGAAATAACACACAGAAACAGAATTTTAGTGTAATATTTTGAATATGCATTAAGAATTAGAGAGCCAAAAATACCCCTTATAGAAAGTTAAATTTTGTTTTCAAGCAGCTCACATCTCATTCAGAGAAACAGCACCAGATCATTGAGGCCTTTCAGTGCAATCATGGTATAAATGCAAACTTGTATATCCTATGCATATAAGGCCAAACATATTAAGTAATATAACCTTGTCCCAAAGTAATTAAACCTTTTGCTGCTTATGTAATGTTTGATCGGGAGAAACTAATCCACTTAACAGAATACAGAACACTCTCTCAGAATCAACTCAGCTGAAACTGTTAGCTTCTTCATGTATCCCTGTATATTTCTATCTGTTGAACAGTCCCCACTGTTAGCATAAACCCTCCTGAAAATACATCACTTGTCCATACCACTTATGCAGAGAAATTTTAGTGCACTGTGCAAGACAGATCATTAGATTTCCAACCTTCATCATCATTGTTTGCAGCCCACAAACTTTCCTGGGATTGGACTACTGAAAGAGATGTGACAAATTGCTGGACCCAACTGTCTGGTACACAGACATACGGCAGATGCATTCAGTAATGGCAAATGAAGGTTTGTTCATGATGGCACAAACCTGACTAATGGTTATGAACTTATGCTCTCTCCATGGCACACAGAGCACAACTGCCATGGAGAGACCACAATGGTTTCAGAAGACTTCAGTCCAATTCCAATTTTTTACAATGTCTGAATGTGACAGCTTAAATTTTGTTTGCTACCCAAATCTGAGATTCAAAAATATTTTGCACATTAAAAATACCAATATAAACATTAATCACATCACAAAAGTATTACTGAAAATCCTAACTGCTTGAAAAAATTGGCACACATACCTCACCAAGCTTTTCCAATTTGATGTAAGTTTCCATTTTCCCAAAACCAATTTCAGACTGTAACAAAAGCAAAAGGTAAAGGCTCTTAGAAGCACTGTAACAGACAAGATATCCACAATGAACAAATTATCTCTCTGAAAACAAAAGGGACAATAATACACTGGTAAGCACACCTAAACTGAGGAAGCAACCTTTGAAACCAGGGTAGGCTGGCATGGGATTTACAAGGCCACACCCACTTTCCATGCAAAATGGCCAGTTTGATCACTGGCTTCTCCAGTTAAAAGAAAGAAGCTATCAGGATGGGGAAAGACTTCTGCATGAAACCACAGAGAGCTTTGGTCAGTGGGATTAGATAATACTTGGACAGATGGTCTGACTCTGAATAAGGCAGTTATGCTTAGCTCAATTTTAGTAACATATTCAAGTTGTGACTGTATAAAGCAATACATGCATAAATAAAACCTGGTGTTGCAAATATTTTTTAAAAAGCTGGCAGAAAAGTAAATTACATAAATTATACGCTGAATGTTTAATATTTGCCTGTCTCTATACAGTTCATTTTGTAGGAAAAAAGATACTGAAAAATCTTATGTTCAAACAAAATTTAAACTACTAGGCACTGCAGTACCATCTATCCTATGATCTTCAGAACTGTATTTCAAACACTTAGCATCATCAGTAACACTGATCCAACTCTAGTTGATGTCTTATGTACATATAAAAAAGACAATTTACATCTAGCAATATAACATGAAGAGTGTTGTACACACTCAAATAGATAACAGAATTCAAAAGCAATACTTTGCAGAGAACCCTAAATTCAGATATGTGTTTAAATGCACGGATTCTCCCTATACTGCTTTCTCTGTGGCCACATGGCCTCAAGGAGCAGTCAGGAAACTGTGGTTTGTCAATTTAAATGAAACAGCAAACCACAATTATGACAAATTGTGCTTAACAAATGAGCTACAAGCCCTAGTTTGAAATATTCGTTTGGTGCTAACCAATAAGCTGAAGCTGTTTTTCTGGAATATCTGCATTTAGACATCACAGGTAACCAGGGTTTGCTCTAACCATAGTGTAGCATGGTTTCTCAATATAGTGCTTATCTGACACAATATGTTAGCTATGTGTATTTGGTTGTTGGCACCTGAGTACAAATCACCTAAGTAGCAGCTCTTTTTTAAAATTCCCCCCTTAACCCAGGTAATCAGTCTAAAATGAGCTTTTCCTAGGGAATTGCTAACCTAGTTCACAAAACTTTATTTTTTTACAGACTTCAATTTATTTATCCTTAGTGGTCCAAGATACTACTTGCCTAATATATATATTTTGCCAGAAGAACAGCATGTTTGACAAAACATTTTTGCCATCTTTACTAGAGCGCTTATATAACCACAAGACAAGCAGGGAACCTCCAAGATGTAATGGGGACATTAATATTTCCCCCATACCTCCACACTGTTGCCTCTTTCCCTCCCCCTGCCAGCCTCCACAGAATCCCCTTCTCTCCCACACCCACCCAGCCAACCTACCCTTATCTTCTCTTTCTCCCACCCACACAGCCAACTTGCCTTTATCTGCTCCTCTGCCTCCTTCTTCCTCTAGGTAGCTTCTCCCCTTTTAGTCTCTCCCACCCACCTAACTACTTTCTGCTTTTCTCTTATCCTTCAGCTTTTCCTTCTCCTCTCCTTTCTTTGCCCCCCCACTGCTCCCATCTTTAACCTTTTTCAATCCCCCGTCTCCCACTAACAGAAACCAAGACTTGGAAGATTTGGCAATATTGTTATGATTGCTTAGCAACTACCCCTCCCCACAGCTGCTGAGGTATCAGAATGTAGTCTCATGAGCTCTCAATGGGCATTCATCTCTTAAAGCTAGGTGTTGTTTTTTATTATTTTGGAAGGGTGGGGTAAATGCGCAATAAATTTTTTAACCAATTTTTCTGCTGACCAAGAGCTTCCCGCAGGTTCATAGAAACCCCCCCCCCCCACCTGTCCCTGGACTCACTTGTGGAGTTTCTGAGCCATGCTCTAGGGCTGAGCTTGGAAAGGCAGGTTGCTTACCTGTAACTGATGATCTTCAAATGGTCATCTGTGCATTCACACCTATGGGATATAGTGCGCCTGCGCCGACCTTGACTGGTACTTCTTAGAAAGCGAAAGGGATTTTCCCGCCGGCTCCACTGTGCATGACTAGGGGAGGGGCACGACAATCCTGCCAGTCCCTTCTGACCGCTGCCATCAGTCTCAGAGCAAAGAACAAAAGGACCGAAAGCAGATGGGAAGGAGGGTGGGTGGTGTGAGTTTGAGGTGTGGTACATCGTGGTGGAGCACCTGGTGCCCTGTGACATGTGGAGTAGAGTCGGGAACCAATGCTGACATGGACACCATGGAGTCACAAGGTTGTTCCTTCATGATCTTGCTCAGCACTTTGGTAAGATGAGGGATTGGTGGGAAAAGTACACGTGCCTGTGGGACCATGGATAAAGGAAACCGTCTCCCAGAGATAGAGGGTCCTGTCCCGCCCTGGTACAGAACAGGTGACACTTTGCTGGTTGGAGATACTCCCAGTTGAGTTCCCACTCGTGAAGGGATGCTCCTCCTCTGCTCAGAAAGTCCGCGTGCACATTGAGCGACCCAGGCAGGTGAGCCATGATGATGAACACATCCCGTAATTGGCATTCGGCCCAAATCTCCAAAGCTAGTCAGCAGAGTCCCCTGGACACTGTTCCCCCTTGCCGGTTCAGGTAGCACAATGCGGTAGTGTTGTCAGCCAGGACTGCTACCATGTGGTAAGCCACGAGATGGCGAAAAGACCTAAGGGCATATTGGATGGCCAACAGTTCCAAAAAGTTGATGTGCTTGTGGGCCACGTGAAATTCCTACCTGACGTCCATGCACACACCTTTGAGATGTGCTCCCTATCCCCACTAGGATGCATCCGTGGTGAGGGTAATTTCGGGGCTGGGTGTATGAAATGGGGCTCCCTGAAGAAGGTTTCCCACCACTTCATGGAGACCAGCACTTGTGCAGGAAGTACGAATCATTGAGATTGGGGCTGCCATTGTGGATGGAACCTCTTGAGGAACCACAGCTGAAGTAGTCTCATTCGTAATCTGGCGGAGACAAGTACCACTGTGGTGGTGGCCATCAGCCCTAAGAGTTGTTGGATCTGTTTTGCTGACACAGCTCCCTGTTTCTTCTCTAGGCCGATGAGAGCGATGATGTCGTCTGCCCTCTTGAGAAGAAGAAAGGCTCGGCAGACCTTTGAGTCCAAGATCGCCCCTATGAGTTGGACTTAATAAAGAGCACTGCCTTTTTTAGGTTCACCTTCAGGCCCAGGGCATCTAGGGTAACCAACATCAAATCGATATGGTTGAGCAGAGTCTCTCTGGAGTTTGCTACCAGCAACCAGTCATCAATGTACGGGAAGATCCGCACACCCTGGAGATGGAGGTAGGCTGTGATGACAATCATCATTTTTGTGAAGACTCTGGGCGCTGCTGAGAGCCCAAAGGGCAGGGCTTTGTATTGAAAATGGTTGTCCTTGACTGCAAAACGCAAAAACCCTCTGTCAGATGGATAGATAGTGATATGGAAATATGCGTCTTGCAAGTCCAGGGTTACCATCCAGACATTTTTGCCGAGAAGTGGGAGAATACTTTGCAAGGTTGTCATGCAGAATTTCCGATAAGAAATTAAATGGTTGAGTCCCCTGAGGTCCATAAGAGGACAGAGACCTATTCTTGGGGACTGTAAAATAACAGGAATAAAACCCATGGTGACGTTGCATCATCAGAACTGGTTCTATAGCGTCCTTTTGAAGGAGGTTTTGAATTTCTTCCCAGAAGCACGCTGGATGGTGGAGTAAGCATGAAATTGGGGGCCTCGGGCATCTGGATAAATTCTGTGAGGTACCCCTTCTCAATAACACAGAGCACCCACTGATCCGATGTTATTCGCTGCCAAGCAGCCAGGAAAGGAGATAGGAGATAGGTGGGGGGTAAAGGCAGATGACGTGAGTCAAAGGCTCTGATTGGGAGCTTTAGGGGTCTTAGCCCTAGAGTGGGTGGCGGATGAAAACGTAGGTTTGTGCCCATAAGGGTGAGAAGACACAGTTCCTTTTGAATTTTGCGAGCTTGACGGTTAAAGTCCTTGGGAAGGGCTGCAATAAATTCAGACATTTGTTCCCAGAGGGCAAATTGATATCTCCCCATGCATGGAGTATAGTCCAAAGTCTTAATGCCAGGTGCTCCAGCAAAATCTTCTTTCAAACGAGTCTAGTTTCCTTCCCTCTTTCTTGGTGTGTGTGGAATGACTGTGTTTGCCTTTGGAAGAGGAGGTGACTACCATCAAGTTAGGCTTGGGGTGGGTGAATAAAAATTCAGCGCCCGGCTCTTGCACCTTATACATGTGATCTACTCTCCGGCTAGAGACAGGGGTGGAAGCCGGATGAGACCACAGAACCATGGCTGCCTGTAACAAGACCAAAGTCGTCAGTAAGGGTATCGGTGTCGAGGTATCCATCTGCACAATATCGAACACAAAGTCTGTTACTGTAAGTGGGGTTGCACAGTAGACAGGGTCAGCGTGTTGGCCATCCGCTTGATGAAATCCCCATAGGATTTGAGATCCTCCGACGGAGAAATTGGGAGATTATCGCCCACTTGTTGAGGTGGCAAGGGTTCCATTGGAGGGTCGGGGTTTTCATCCCCTGAACGGGAGGAGGTATCGGAAGAAGCGGAATGTTCAGATGGTTCGGAAAAAGAAATAGGCAGGATAGGTGTCAACTGGATCGGTTCTGATGGATCTTTAAACTTAGGTGCTATTGGGGGGGTTGGTTGTTCTGCCTGTTGGTCTTGACAGCTGGGGTTTCATAAACTCCGGCGTCGGGAGAGGATCTCGATATTGAGAAAGTCGGAAGGAGGTGGATTGACGATTCCATTCCACCAGTTGGGGTAGAAACCATGGCATGCCGGTTGTGAAGGGATATGCCCCATACATATATTGCCATTGCTGTTGATCCCACGGGGGTGGCGGCGGGTGGATCGG